GCTGTGGAGGGCAGTGTCACTGGCCCTCATATGTGGGATCCGAACCGGGGCCCTCTGGCATCCCAAGCGAGTTCTTAACCATCGCGCCACTCGGTCGGCCCTACAATGGCTTGTTTTAAAGAAACGCTTTTCATTCCTCCTCCATTTTTTGTTCTGGAACACTAAAAAGAGGCAGACTGAAGTTCTTTAGAAGCTAATGAAGCCTAAGCATCTTCTTAAGAAAAATAATTGTGCTTTTTAAAGAGCATCGTGGAAGGCAGGGCCTAGGTTAGTGTGATAGTTAACATTAGGATTAATGTTCAGCCCCCAGGGAGGCCCCCAGGGCCCAAGGCGACCAGTCCCTGCTCATCCCTCGCTGGTAATGTGCTCCAAAGAACAGCACCACTTCCAGGAATTCTCTGCCGTTCATATGAATATTTATAGCACTGTCTACAGAAAAGTTTAAAATCTTTAATATTTATGTAGAATTTTTTCTGTTACCTTGTTCTCCATATGTTTTTTATAAAAATTAAAAAGTATTCTTATTTAATTGGCACAAAGCCTCCTGCTAGGTCTCTGGGGTTTCTTAATTTTTGTTTGTTCTTATTTAATTTCAGACTTGCTGTAGTAGATGAACTGTTTTATATGACCATGTCTAATGACTAAAGACTGCCAGATTTTTTTATCTCTGAAACTATAAAATGTTTGTTCATCTATTTTAGGGCCCATACCCTATGCATTAGTTAATAATTTTTATTAATTGGTATTTGCTTTTTCCGTTAAATAACGTTCATTCTTTGGTCCTTCGTTAGAATTCACACACACCAGTTAGGAGCTGGCTGTTGAAGGTAACTAGTAGTACCTGTATTACAGCTACAGTCTGTTGAAGAGCAGTTCAGAGAGAGTAAGACAGTTAGGTAAAGAAAGAAATTTTTTTTTAAATGCCCTTACTTGGTAAAATGAAAGTACTTATGAGCCAAGAGCAACAAAAAGTGAAGAGAGGAACCATCACAAATTATAGGTCAAATTATGAAAATGAAGCCTCTCTAGAATTAAAATGTAAATTGGTTAGAAAACAGAATTTGGTATATAAAAGACAGATTGGGGCACATAAATACACCCCTTTAGCTCTGCACTTCAAGGCAAAGGAATAAAGTGTTATCTGATTAAGATCATTGATTGCCATGTATAGCAACAATGTAGAGAATACTGACACTCACAAAATCTCGAGCAGCGGTTCTCAACCTTTCACAGGGGTCACCTAAGACCATCGGAAAACACATATTTTCGATGGTCTTAGGAACCGAGACACCGCTCCTCTATCCGTCTCCAGGCCCACATGCAGATACACCCACATACGAGTACCCAGCGACGCCTGTGAATGGGTCGTTCGACCCCCAAAGGGGTCGTGACCCACAGGTTGAGAACCACTGCTCTAGAGGGAATGGCCAGTGTGGGCTTTTTATCTCTGAAACAGGCCACAGGTATGATGAGTGAATGAAAACCCAGGGTGGCTTCATGGGCTGTGGAGATAGGGGCTTTGCTTTTGGTTCCCCTAATTACTTCATCAAAGGGCCCCTTCACTTATTGAAAGCTCTACAGGTGCTTTCTGAAAAGCTAAAAGGTGATTCGTTTTAAATCCAACAAATATTTATTGTGAGCGAAGCATTGAACAACAAAGTCCCTGTCCTCATGGAGTTTACACAGTCTAATGACAAGAGACTTAGAGTACATAATATAATGCAGCATCACGTGGGGCTGCGCTGTGGAGAAAACACACAGGGCGAGTAATGGGCAGGGGTGCCTCACTGCTGCCATCAGATTCCCCTCACTTCAGGTTTATTCTAAACTTGCTCTTGAATGCTTATGGAACCTGGGTGGGCAAGAGATTGCACACACTAGTCCTTCTCAGGTTTCTCTAAGGCAGGGCTCGGCAGACTGCAGCTTGCGGGCCACATGCGACTCTTTGGGCACGTTCCGTCTCAAAAGTTTGCCGACCCCTGGAAGAGCCAATCCTGTACCTCACAACAATTTAAAAATGATTCGAGAGCCATAAATCTATTTTTACAAATAAGGAAAATTTAAAGTAATATTGGATTGTCAGAAAAGTCATTATGTATTTTTCCTATGTTTTTCATTGCAAAAATGCGTCATGACTTTTCCGACAACCCAATATTATAAATGAAACTATGATAGTTTTATTTTCATTTTCAATTTTACTTCAGAGCCACATGTACGTACCCAAATAGCTGCATGTGGCTCGCGAGCCGCAGTTTGCTGACCCCTGGCAGCTCTTTCGTCTCAAAAGTTTGCGGACCCCTGCTCTAAGGAATGTGCTTTCTGTCGTCTTACAACCGCTTAAAAGCTTGAAAAGCCAAAAGGCAGGTTAGCCTTAGAGGAAGCCTGAGGGGAAAGAAATGTGGGTTCCAGTTAAAACCCTGAGGCATTGTAGATCCAGGTGAACTTCAAAGAGAACAGTTACAGCAAACTGCCTCCTAGCTTGCTCCAAAAAGGGGGTGGGGGGGAGATTGCTGCCTTCTTCCTGGCTGAGACTGTTTGGGGGGTACTTTGTGTTGTGTTGCATTTGTGTTTCATTTCACCTCAGTGACTGAAAACACGGAGCTCCTGAAGAAAGGGATTGGACTCACAGGACTTCCTTTGTAAATCTGATGGGCTCTGTTTGGCCTGCAGTCCGTCTAAAGTTAGGCTGCACATTTGCCCATTTTAAGTATCTAACTGAGCGTAATTGCTGATAGCTGTGCCCCACCAGGATGGCCTCAATCCTGTGGTGCCTAGTTCCTGTCTTAACCACGCTTATCCTGGGGAGACTTAGTTTATCCCAGGGAATTTACTTAGGAGACTTTGGAAAATAGAAACTCATCATAAACATTTATGAAGAAATGCTTGTTGATTACTAGGTTCTTTCTTGTCATCTAGTTTATATGGTTGCTTCATCACCTATCACCTCTATTGTTCCAATATTTGGAACAGTTTCTCCTCTTTTAACTTTAAAAATAAATTTTAAGAAAATTGAAAAACTCAAACAGTGAGTGATTCAGTTTGCCATATTTTTATTTCTGATAGTATGATAGAAAAATCATTCTCTAAAAGATACTAAGCTCATAGCTCATTTTCAAAATTATTCTAAATTATTTACAAAATAGTTCATGACCTTTCTGGTTCAGGACAAATATATCAACTAGGAGAACTTTTCTGTATACAAATGGCTACTGAAAATTTTAGGCCTTAGAAATACCAGTGAACTTTTGAAAGGTCAGGATACATGTAGGCAGGTGTATTATCCAGGTGTTCATATATATTTTGATTTTGTACAGGTTATACCGAAAAGAAGTTCTACAGAAATTAATAGAAAAATGTGTTTCTAAAGGCTACGTCTTCCAGATGGAGATGATTGTTCGGGCAAGACAGTTGAATTATACTATTGGGGAGGTATGCAACTGATGGTAAATAGTATGCTGTATTCCTCATAAAGAAATAATAAGGTTTAGACTTTGTATGATAAAAAGTTTAATTTTCAGAACTACTAAATAAATGTGGAGGACTTCCAGTTGTTTAGAATGTCCATGCACTAAAGGGTGAAAAATCACATCCCTTTCAAATTAATACATTTGACCTACCAAGATTTAAAACATTAACAGAAGGCAGCATTCCCTTTTAAAAATTTAAAAGTTACTGGTACCTTCTCCATCCTTGCCCTTTTTTCATCTGACCACTCAGCATTCTGGGATGAGTTGATTTGCTGGTTTTCCTCTTGCCATAGCCAACAGCCACTCTACTTTAAAATGAAGGATGATGCCCATTGCCCATTTCCTATGAGTAAATGAAAAGGACAGGAATTGTGGGGGGCGGAGGGGGGGTGTAATATTTACAGCTAGCTAGTGAATTTAGGGAAGACTCTCCTTGTTTAACACTAATATTCTCATTCAGAGCAAGAAATAGCTAACTAGAATGCCACTTCTCTTGTGGAAATTTTAAGATTTTTAACTTAATACTAAAACACAGTGACATCTGAATTTGATGGACTAATGAAAAAGATAAGTGAAAGGACATTTTACTTTTGGAGTATAATTTTTCCTTGAAATGCAGTCTGAAACTTGGGTAAACCAACTTAATATGCAGGATCAATGCTCTTCAAACAGTTGTCAGTTTGGTTCATATGGCCTAGTTTTAGGTAATAAGATGTATGTTTAATTTTAAAAACTTGGAGGTGCACACAGTTGCTGTAAGTCCCCTACTTCTGAACTTAATTGAAGGACTTGGTTTCATAGGACTAATCTTGTTTCTGTTGTATTAGTAATTTTTGTATACCTGCTATGCTTTCTAATATTTTTGAAGACTGACTTAATGTATTTTTTTTTAACTAGGTTCCAATATCATTTGTGGATCGTGTTTATGGTGAATCCAAGTTGGGAGGAAATGAAATAGTCTCTTTCCTGAAAGGATTATTGACTCTCTTTGCTACTACATAAAAGAAAGTTATTCATTTATATTATGTTCATTTCAATTTAAACATAAAGGAAGCCTGGTTGCTGATTTTTATAATATGTACTCTTAGAGCATAAAATCATAAGGTAAGGTAAATTTCACACAATTCTTTTCTCTGAAGAAACTCCATTTTATATGTCAGATTAGAAAAATGAGCAGTGTTCTCAATTTTCGTTTACATTTTGCTGTATTAAATAAGACCTTTAAATAAATATATATGGGGTTTTGCATAAAACATTGCTTTTGTAGAGTATGTGAATGCAGACTTTATTACATGGGGAAGATTTTGAAATATTCTTTATAAAAACTGGATTCATAGCTCTTTGTACCTAATAGATGTCAGAATAGGAATGCTAATTCATGAAATATTCTCTGACTTTCTGTATGAACTGAAAAAGAAATACACATTTCTGCCCTTTCTTTAAAAAGGTATCTCAAATTTCTTAAATCAGATAAAACAGTACATTTAGAGCATAATTTTACAATTTGGTTCTTTGCAGCTGTTGAATTGCTGAAGCTATTCATCTGTCAAAGCCAATCTATTTAGAATACATACTGTGAATTGGAAACAACTTGACAACAGTTGATAGCATAGTTGCTTTTTTTTTCTTCTGAGCAATAACTTCAGTAAGGAAAAATATTGATATTAAAGCATAAACTTTAGTGGCAATAGTAATTTTTAAACATCTTACAAACTAAAGATTTTGTTCTCAAAATATTTATTTTCATATTTCAGGACCCTCAACAAAGCATACATCTTTACTAATAGGACAAAAATTCCTTCTCGATAGCTCTTCTCTGTTCAGAAGTGTTCTAACAGTTAAAATGCAGGTTAAGTTGTTCAATAAACCGAGCGCAAATATTCCGTTTACCTTGTCTAAAGTAGGTATTTCAAAAAAGATCAGTTTCTAACTAGCATACCTTTTGAATCATGCAGTATCTTTTAAATTTTGGGGTAATACTGTGAGCACATAAGCTTAAGATCAAGTTTCCTTTGCAAGTAAAAGGAAGAAGCATCTCTAAGTTATTTAATAAGCATATTTAGTGGACAGTATTCCTAATTACTATACTTTCCTGGCTTAATTCGGCTGCTAAAGTCAAGAAATTTAAAGTCTGATTTTTCCATTTGCATTTCTAACAGATCCTACCAGAAATGAATAAAGCTTTTGGTGTCATTTTGAACATTACCTATTCCCATAGTTGAATCCATAGGACATATTCCAGTAAGAGCCTCTATCTACTATTGTATTTCCTATTTACACAGAGCTGGGCTATAGCTCACCAGGTACTCACCTTCCTTGGGGAAGCGATTTCTCTCATTGGTAACTAGAGAATTCTTCAATGTTTGATGTAAAATTAGTTTTAAGTTAACATAATAGTAATATAATACTCTTTTTTTTAAAAAAAATGTTTGGAATCTCTTTTTCATCTAAACCTGAAGTTCAGCTTTCATTGTCAAGTATGTGTAGCAGAGATGAAGTAACTACCTCAGAGAACCCATTTTCTCAGACCTCACTAGAGTAGATACCTTTTGCCTTTTTAATCTTTTTGGTTCTTATTCTCACAACACTACCACTATTGGAATTTACAATAAAGGAAGTATTTGAGCATTGAAGACTTCCACCATTTGGAAGTTATTTAGAAAAGAATATTGAACTATTTAGATGCATTTTTGTAGTAAATGTGGTGACTTAAACACTGTAAAATCATTTACATGTGAATTCAGCATCCCTTTTTACTTTGTAAATGAGGCCAAGGATGAAATCCAGATGTTCTCTGTTTGTATTTGTATTATCACTGTATGAAACCTAAGGAAAACTAAAGATAAAATTATTTTGCTTATTTCATATTAGCTTTTGCCTGTCTTCTGCAACATGTAATTTAGAGTCTGCATCTTGGACTCTAAATCAGATGCTTTGCCCCTTCCCCCCTTTTCTTTTACAATTTTTTTCAACTATTGTTTTCCTTTGGAATACTGATTTGGCTTTTAAGGATATGTTTTATCACAGTTTCAGAAAGTAATGGAATACTATGTTTGTTGGATGAAACAGGTGGTTAAACCTGCTAACTGAAGGCTTAGGCATTGGGATACATGTAACCATAGTTTGTACTATTTTCAGTGAAGATTCTTTGGGGATGTTAAGTATGGTTTGCAACTATGTTAACTTGAAGTTTAGAGAAACAGCAAAGATAAGTGTATTTACAGAGTACGTTTGAGAAAAACAGACTTGCTTAATCCTGCACAATTGGCATTCACTACTTTTCAGTACGTTTAGTCAATGATACACTCTTAGATGCATTATGCTATTAAAGGTGGGTTAAAGACGTTGAGATGATGTGTTGGTTGGGGTTGACCTAAATTTACAAAGGCGAACTGCCCACGTGCTGCCTTATGCTATCAGATTGTGGGAGCACTAAAAGTGATTGTCCCTGGGACTACAGTCCAAGTGTGATTTTCAGGGATCGTGAGGTCCATTGGCAACAACATTTCTCCTCCTTAGGCTTCATCAGTCCAATGGCTTCAAGGCGCTAGGGATCCCATTTGTTTTCTTCAGGCCAAACAGAAGAGCCCATCACTGTCTTGGAAGAATGTCAAGTCCCAGGGTGACAGCCCGCCTTCTGTAAAACACAGACCCTGTCCACTGCACAGCCCACCCTACCAGGAAGGGGTGAGGCATCCACGGGTTGGGCCTCATCTCAAGTCGGTGTGTGAAGCACGAGGCCCTCACACCTCATTTAAGGCTGGAGGCGTCGGCACAACACGCCAGGTATCCCTGCCCTTCCCGCGGCTGCCCAGCCCGTGAGAGCGCCGGCCTCCCAGCACGTGGAGCCGCAGGGCTGCCCGCACGCCCCCGCCCGCCAGATGTAGTCCAGGCCCAGCTGGGCCCGCGCAGGGATCCCCAGCACGGCCACCTGACTGAGTGAAGGGCGTGCTGCGGCCCTCTGCTTGTGCTCCGCCGCCGGCGCTGCGGGCAGAGGAAGGCGCCCGCCGTGCACACGGGCCCTGGAAGCGCACTGCGGCCATTATCCGCGGCGCCTCCTAGTGGATCAATGGTAAATTGTCCTGGTTCTCGCGAGAGCTCCCCCTCACTGGGGATTATATAATTTCCCTTAGGCAGGGGTGGGGGTGCCGGGACCACCCTCCCTCAGAAAAAGTTAGGTGCAAGCACAGGAGAGAGCTGTCCCTGGGGGACACGTGGGGAAAGGGTACTGTCCCCCACTGCCCCCCCCCCACTTAGCTGGACAATGAGTCCTCTTATGCTAATGAGGTGCTTACGTCACTTCCGCTCTTTCTCGGCCGCCATTTTGGCTAGGGCAGGTTCGGGGACTCGCTCCGAGACGCTTGTATTGTCTGCTGAGGGGAGACGCGGGATCAGCCCCCTCCCCCGCCCGTTGCCGCCGCCGCCTCCGCCGGCCCGGTCTCCCCTCCGCCGCCCGCCGGGATCCATGAGCTGAACTCCCGCCCCCCCGGCCGCCGCCATCTTGTGCCCCCTCCCCCTCCCGCGGGCAGCGCTAAGGGGGATTTTGGCGTCTCCTCAGACACAGCTCCCTCTCTCGGTCCCCGCAGCTGAGGAGCGAGAGGAGCGCGGCCGCCGCCGCCCGCCTGCCCGCGCCGGTGAAGCGGCCTCTCCCACACCCTCCGTCTCTTCCCTCCGCCCCTCCTTTGTCTGCACCGCTCGACGACGCTGCCGCCGCCGCCCGCGCGGGGACGAGGGAGCCGCTCGCGCCGCCGCCGCCGGGCCCGCGCGCTCCGAAGTCCGGCCGGATCGTCGGGGAGGGGGCAAGGTAAGCCGCGCGCGGCCCCGCGCTCCGGCCCAGCTCCCGACCCTCGGTCCGCGCGGCTCCCGCCGAGCCGGCCCCGGGGGCGCATTGTTGT